GACTTGTCTCCGCCTCTCTGCTAGTGTGCATGGCTGTGTGTGTGCAAGTGACTTGTCTCCGCCTCTCTGCTAGTGTGCATGGCTGTGTGTGTGCAGGTGACTTGTCTCCTCCTCTGTGCTAGTGTGCATGGCTGTGTGTCTGCTGGTGACTTGTCTCCGCCTCTCTGCTAGTGTGCATGGCTGTGTGTGTGCAAGTGACTTGTCTCCTCTGTGCTAGTGTGCATGGCTGTGTGTGTGCAAGTGACTTGTCTCTGCCTCTCTGCTAGTGTGCATGGCTGTGTGTGTGCAAGTGACTTGTCTCCGCCTCTCTGCTAGCGTCTTTGCCACATGACTTGTTCATTTCAATCATTAAGTCAAGGATTTTGCAAGTTTTTGTGAGCAGAGAAATAGTATTTTAAAAAGTTTGGGGAGGTTCCCCTCTTTTCGGTTAATTACTTTATGTCTGAGTCTCAGAATTTCTCAATTTTTATTCCACTGAAGATTTTGAGCCATATAATATCAAGAGGTTTTTCCCAGCTCCTGAAATCTGTACATTTTCAGTTAGAAACCTATCTGCAATTTAAAACCGTGGGTACTTTTGCTCTGTCCACCCTCTTCTGCTGCCGGAAACTCCCCTGTTCAGACAGACTGTATAATGCAGGCAGGCTTGTGACTGACCACTTCTTAGCATGGTGGCCCTCCAGTGGCTTAGTCATGTTGATGGAAGTAGCATTGCATACACCTTGGCAGCCTTCCCTGTGGGAAGCAGCCCAGGCAGAGGCTGGCCTGTTCATTCATGGCAACGGGCTGTGGGATCTGAGCCTGACACTTACAGACCCTTAGAGAGCTCCTGGAAGTCAGTTGGGTTTTCTGGTTGTCCATCCCAAATTAAGTGTGCTCTTTGCTTAGAGATGGAGAGTTTTCCCCAGCCTGTGAGTGAGGCTGGTCAGCTCCCGTCATCTGTGCAGGCCACGGTCTGCACTCCGCCTCTGAGCTGTAAGTGCCCTCTGGGGTGCTGTGTGCTCCTCCCGGGAAGAGGCAAAATAGCAAAAGCAAAGAGAGAGCCCAGCACTGGGGTGGCCTCTCTTCCTTTTGGAGTCCATCAGAGAGCTCTGTGGTCAATCTGTCAAGATCTCCAGGCTTGTAATTAAATGCAAAGAGCAGGCAGGAAACCAAAGCTAAAGCAGACAATCCCAGCCCACCCCAGGAGGTTACTTATGCAATACTGAGAGAGATATCTGAAGGACACAGTGCAGGAAGTTCATTGTGTTTAAGAAATGATAATATCAGCTTGAGCTTGGCCCCCTAAAAACAACCGTATGACAAGTGGACACTGGGCGAACAGCTTCGAAGTTAAGAACGTGCCATGCGGATCCCCAGGCTGCCGTCCACCCTCCTAGGGTTTATCCCTTCACTTTCTTTCCTACTTTGGCGCATCAGAATTAGGAACAGTCACCCCCAAATGGTATGAATAGAGGTCCTAAAATGTAGGTTTTCATCTTTGCACTTCTGGCCAGAGATATCCCAAAGACCATAGAAGACTGGTCAGGAGGGCAGTTTATCCCGTGGTCAGAGTCTCAGTGTTCCGCACTCAGGAGGGCAGTTTGCTGTTGCTCTTCACCGGCTCCTAAAAATCCCATTTGACTATAGCAAGAAGAAGCTGTTCATCATCTATGGCAAATGGACGGAATGCTTGTGGGGTATAGATCCTGTTTCCTACGACTCCTTCAAGAAGCAAGAGAGGAGAGGCGACCACCTGAGGAAGGCTAAACTGGTAAGGCGGCTTCCCCATGCAGACGCTGGGCAGGGCCGAGCCGAGCCCGCGGTGAGGGCTGCTCAGGAGGGGCCGGTGTTCAGAATGTGTCTATCAAGACAAAACTGCTTATCTGGATTCTAGTGGTGGTAGTAGGCTGTATTTGTGTTTTAACTTGGTGGAGGCCACTCTTATAAACCATGGGCTTGAGGTGTTCTGGTGTCATGGTTTCTGTCACCCCCAGGCTGGAAGTTTCTGCAGTCAGGCCAGGGCTTTCATGGTAGCTCTGAGTTCTGGGCCCTTCTTTTTTTTTTTTTTTTGAGACAGAGTCTCAAGCTGTCACCCTGGGTAGAGTGCTGTGGTGTCACAGCTCACAGCAACCTCAAAATCCTCGGCTCAAGTGATCCTCTTGCCTCATCCTCCCAAGTAGCTGGGATTATAGGTGCCTGCCACAGCTCCTGGATACCTTTTTAGAGACGGGGTCTCTCTCTTGCTCAGGCTGGTCTCCTACTCCTGAGCTCAGTCAGTCCACCTGCCTCAGTCCCCTAGAGTGCTGGGATCACAGGTGAGCCACTGCACCTGGCCTCTGGACCCTTCTTGATAAGTCTTTCTTCCTTTACGTGAGTTAGCCTAAATATATTTAAAAGATCACGTGAACTTCATTTTTGTTTTTTTAATTTTTGAGTACCAGCTAATACATTCTTTGAGGCAGAGACTCACTCTGTCACCCTGGGCAGAGTGCAGTGGTGTCATAGCTCACTGCAACCTCCTGGGCTCAACCAATCTTCCTGCCCCAGCCTCCCAAGTAGCTGAGACTACAGGTACCCACAACAAAGCCTGGCTTATTTTTCTATTTTTAGTAGAGATAGGGTTTTCCATGCCTGAGCTTAAGGGACCTTCCTACTTGGGCCTCCCAGAGTGCTGGGATAACAAATAATAAGTCACTGCATCCAGCCTCAGGTAATATGGTGAGGATCTTTCCCCCTAGAATACTAATTGTCTTTTTTCTTTCTTTTTCTTTGGAGACAGGGTCTCACTATGTTGCCCTCAGCTCACAACAACCTCAAACTCTTAGGCTTTTTTTTTTTTTGAGCCGGAGCCTAAAGCTATCCCCCTGGGTAGAGTGCCATGGCATCACGCTCACAGCAACCTCCAACTCCTGGGCTCAAGCGAGTCTCCTGCCTTAGCCTCCCAAGTAGCTAGGACTACAGGCGCCCACCACAACACCTGGCCATTTTTTGGTTGCAGCCATCATTGTTGTTTGGCGGGCCTAGGCTGGGGATTCGAACCCGCCACCTTAGGTGTATGTGGCTGGCACCTTAGCCGCTTGAGCCACAGGCGCTGAGCCCAAACTCTTAGGCTTAAGCGATTCTCTTGCCTCAGCCTCCCAAGTAGCTGGGACTACAGATGCCTGCTACAATGCCCAGCTATTTTTGTTGTTGTTGTCGTTGTTTGGCAGGCCTGGGCTGGGTTCAAACCCACCGGCCCTGATACATGTGGCCAGTGCCCTAACCACTGAGGTATGGGTGCCGAGCCCTGGCTATCTTTTAGAGACAGGGTATCACTCTTGCTCGGGCAGGTCTCACACTCTTGAGCTGGCAGTCCACCCACCTCAGCCTCCCAAGTGCTAGAATCACAAGCTGAGCCACCACCCTGGATACTTTGTCTTAAGGCTAGTTAAAACTGTAAGTGGGGCGGTGCCTGTGGCTAAGCGGGTCAGGCACCGGCCCCATATACCGAGGGAGGTGGGTTCCAACCCAGCCCTGGCCAAACTGCAACAAAAAATAGCCGGGCATTGTGATAGGTGCCTAAAGTCCCAGGTACTTGGGAGGCTAAGGCGAAAGAATCACCTTAGCCCAGGAGTTGGAGGTTGCTATGAGCTGTGATGCCACGGCACTCTACCAAGGGCGATAAAGTGAGACTGTCTCTTAAAAAACAAACAAACAAAGAAACAAAAAACTGTAAGTGGTAGTTTAAAAGAGGTGGCATATTTCCTAGGTAATAAATCAGAGTATACCAAACTGAGATGTTTAATGTTTTTTACAAAAATACTCCACCTCCTCTAGTATACTAAGTGTTTTACTATTGTAATGTTCCATGTGTACCATTAGACATGCTTTCTAAGAATTCTCTTCTATTTAAAAAGAAAGAGTACAGTCCCACTTAAAGACTGTACAGACTTAGAATGTGAAGTCCCCTTCGTGATGTTTTAACGCTTTCATGCTCCCGTGGGTACGCTGGAAACAAGGAAGTGTCTGTTGGAGTGTCCCCCTCAGGCTGGTTAGAGTCAGGTGGAAGGATTCGTGAGCTGTGTGTCCCATTTTTAAGTGTTCTGCCTTAACAGCTGCATCTAATGATCCACTTTCTTTTTCTAGGACCCACTGATTTTTTTTTTTTTGAGACAGAGTCTCACTGTGTCACTCTCAATAGAGTGCCGTGATGTCACAGCTCACAGCAACTCTTGGGCTTAAGTGATTCTCTTGCCTCAGCCTCCCAAGTAGCTGGAACTACAGGGGCCTGCCACACACCCAGTTAATTTTTTTTTTTTTTTTTGTTATTGTTGTCGTTGTTTAGCAGGCCCTGGCTGGGTTTGAACCCACCAGCCCCAGTGCATGTGGCTGGTGCCATAACCACTGAGCTGTGGGCACCGAGCTGGACCTGCTGATTTTGAAAAACAAGCACAGCAGTTGTGTTTTATCAAGGTGTGATGCGCAGTCAGGATTCAGTCTAGAAATGCTAAGATCACCGTGAAATTGCCATGTATTGCCTGCTTCTCAGGCTCAGAAGTGCCCCCTTCAGGAATGTCACCATCGGCTTGAGTGAATGTGCTGTTTTGGAAGGTGTCGCCCTATGTCATGGTGCTCACACTCAGCAGAGCATCTTTTCACAGTGCACACTTCTTCCAAAAGGGAGCCTCACTGGCATCCCGCCTGCCTTCTCTCTGTGCGTAGCACAGCACAGCCTGAGCCACAGGGAACTGTGAGCCCCTTCAGGAACAGGGAGCCCGATTCCTCTCCACACACTGACAGGCAGGATCTGAAACTGGAGAGGAAATTTGATTTTCTCCTTGGCTAAGAAAAAAAAAGAGGTGGCCATGCGAGGTGGCTCACAGCTATAACCCAGCACTTGGGAGGTCAAGGTGGGTGGATTGCCTGCACTCACAAAATAGCCCAGCTAATTGGGAGGCTGAGGCAAGAGAATTGCTTATGCCCAGGAGTTTGAGGTTAATGTGAGCTGTGATGCCACGGCACTCTTCTGAGAGCAACAAGTGAGACTATCTCAAAAAAAAAAAAAAAAAAAACAGAAAGAGGGAGGTGCCTATGGCTCACACCCAGTATATAGGGTACCAGCCCCATATACTGGAGGTGGTAGATTCAAACCTGGCCCCAGCCAAAACCTGCAAAAAAGAGAAAGAAAAAGAAAAGGCCATCTCACTCTACCTAGGGGCTTGGTGACAGGTCTGAAAGGTGCTCGGAGCCACAGTCCTGCCTGCCAACAGCCACATGGCACTGGGCAGCTATACCAAGGTGTTCTGTGTTTTAGGACGATGGTGCTGAAAGGGCTAACGGTGACACGGCTGACGACGTCCCTGTGGTGCAAGAGACCGTGCAGGTCATCCCAGGCAGCAGGCTGCTCTGGAGGATCAACACCCGGCCTCCCAACTCTGCCCAGGTCTGTCTCTACCGCACCCCTCCCACAACCACACTGCCCCTTAGCCGCGTGTCCCAGAGTGGACAGGAGTGGACAGGCTGCCTCGGTCACCCCAGACTGGGCTCTGCAGGGGGCATGCTCACTGCCTGTTGGTGCGGCCCTGGCAGGACACACTAGGTCCATTGGTGTGTTGACCCTGTGCGTGCCCAGGCCTGCACCAGCTGTGTCCCATCAAGAGAGGGTCCCAAACCTGTTTGAGAGATTGTTTTCCTGACTTGTTAATTTAGATTAGTGTTTTGCAACCTTTTTTTCCTCACAGCACACTTGAACCTTTAAAGTTCTGCAGCACACTTAAATTATGTTGATCCAAAAAAAGAGTAAATGAAAGAATGTATTATTGTGCTTTGAACTTTTTTCGAAAATAATTTAATTAATAATCTTTAAAACTTTTCATGGCACACCTAAGATCTCACGGCACCAGTTGGAAATCACTGATTTAGATGCTTAAACAGATTATGAAATTTGTTTCTGAAAATTATTTGTAGTTTTTATTACATATATAATAAAATATATGAATTATATTACATATAATTTCACATAATTAAGTAATATAAAATATGTAGCATTATTATATGACAAATGGAATACGTTAATGTGTTTTATTATTATGTGATGAACGTATTATATTATTTAAATAGTGGCACACCAGTGAGAGGGTTAGGGCCAATCCCGCTGAACGGTTCCATGGGTACATTTGTTTAAATAGGACAGTGGAGCTGTTGGTGGCGCAGTCCTGACCTCCCATTGGTATGCAGCCTCTTAGTTTACTATCTTGTAAGTTATGTCATTTACATAAAAAGTGAACATAACTCATAAACAATTTTATTGTGCTTTTAGTGCTGTAAATGTGCAAAGCGCTATCAGGGAGAGAGAGGGAGACCGCTCGCCCTGTGAGCACACTGGCCAAGTGCAGAGCACCAACAGGACTCTGTTTTTTCTTGGAAACTGCTCCATATTTTGTTTCAGGGGATTTATTGAGTCCCCCTCTGCCTGCCAGAGGGGCCCAGGGCTCTAGGAGCTACCGTGGAGACCTGCTGGGTGTAGCTCCACCCTGGTAGCAGGGAGGTGGCAGGTGGTGGACACACACCTGAGTGTCACGGGTGCTTTAGGAGGTGCTGAGAGACACTGGCCAGGGCAGAGAGGGTTGAGCACTGTGGCTTTGGTCATGGGGGGTAGGGCAGGTTGGAGGAGCTATGGCTGGGGCTCCAGGTGACACAGGTGCTGTGGAAGTCATTCGAGCACAAAGTGACTGAAGGGGCTGATGTTTTCCGGCCCTGCTGGGCTGCTTGCTAAGACTTTATGGGCATGAAGGCACAGTAGGCTGGGAGGCAGGCAAAGTATGCTGGGTAGGAGATTCCTCTCAGATGCCCAGGTCCAAGGCAACAGTCAGAGGGTCTGGCTGGAGGATGAGCCCTGGGCATCCTAGGCATGAGGTGGACATCCCACCTGAAGTTGGAGAGTGCCAGCTACTATGTGGCAGCTTCAGGGTTGGGGAGGCTGCCTGGGAGGCAGTCATGTCTCAGGGCAGGTGAAGTGTGGGCTCAGGCCATGGGTTATGGGCAAGACACAGGTATCCTTGAAAGGATAGTTTTCAGCGAGCGAGTGGCACAAATCTTCTATTTGTCAAATTATGAAGAAGGTAAAAGGAATCCGTGCTGATTTTGCTGTCACAGGTCAAACTGCAAAGTCACAGCTGTGGCATGTGTTTGTGCTGGTGGGGCAGGGCAGACGGCAGAACCGCTGCATTCCTACCACAGTTGCCAGGTTTGGTGTGGTCTGTGGCTTCTGGCACCTGCTGGAGGTCTTGGGTTGTGCCCCACGGCTGCGGGGGCTGCTGAGGTCCCCTTTCTGTGCCTGATCCCGCAGATGTATAATTTCACCAGTTTCACCGTGAGCCTCAACGAGTTGGAGACGGGCATGGAGAAGACCCTGCCCCCCACAGACTGCCGCCTGCGCCCCGACATCCGCGGCATGGAGAATGGCAACATGGGTGCGCTCCGTGGCCTGGGGGGGGTGTGCCAGGGTGGAACAGCACAGAGTGGCAGGCCAGGGCCAGGCTTCCCAGTGAGGGGGCTGCAGTCCATCCAGAGCAGGTACTGATGGGCTGACAGTGCTCTCCTGGCCTGGGCCATCCTCTTGTAAACATGTTACAGTCAATTTGACTAGGAAATAAAATGGATAAGGGCTCATACAAGGTACAGGTCCCTGAATTCTTGTTACCAAATCGAACAGTCATTAAGTGGAGAGTGGCGGTGCTGGGTGCTGGACCCTGGCCCTATAGTCGTGCCCAGCACCACCATTGTCCCTCTGAGTTGGGGCCTGGGCGTCAGGGCACAGCGAGCATGTGTTTTCTTGTTCACTTCCTACTGTAGATCAAGTCAACAGCAAAAGTCATTGCTGGTCATGCTGGTCCAGAGTGATTCTGGGTTGGGTCAGTTGTACGTTAGTAGGGAGACCACCTCGTTACGAGCGTGGCCTGGGACTGGTGTCCATGTCCCTCTCTTTGCCGCCCACGAGTGATGCTTTGTGTTGGAGCTTACCCGCATCCGTCCTCGGCAGCCACATAGCAGTCTACCCTGAAGGCACTTGCTGTTAATGAAATAAGCAGGTGCTGCCTTTGCACACTTGGGGCTGTGCTTCCCACTTGCCGGCATAGTCCAGGAGCGTTAGGTCGCTACCTGAGCATCACACACCTGTAGCCTGCACCCAAGCAGCTCTGCTCTCGAACATATAGCCCATGGCCCACGAGCTCCGTGTGGGGCTGCCCCGTGGGTGCAGATGCAGCCAGGCTCTGGCTCCTGTGCTTGTGTTTGGGCTCATATTTACCAGGCTTTTTACTCCAGGCTTTCAGCCGAAGGGGCCCTTGCATCTAGTAGCCTGGGGGCACACAGGGGCTGTCACCTCTCTTAACCAGAGCTTCCTTGCTTGGACCTTAGACCTGGCCAGCCAAGAGAAGGAGCGTCTGGAGGAGAAGCAGAGAGAAGCCCGGCGGGAGCGTGCCAAGGAGGAGGCTGAGTGGCAGACCAGGTAAAGGCTGTGGGCAGGTGTGGGCAAGCAGGGGCAGCTAGGAGGACCTGCCACACACCTAGGGGAAGGAAGGAGGCCCCGTACCTGTGTGGCCGTTTTATTCTTGTCCATTTTATTTCCTAGCACTGCCCTGGCTACACAGAGGCAGTGACACCACCCACTGCGCTGATCATACCAGTGGGGAGTGGCCCATGTACAAGGCTGGTCACTTTAGCCCTGGGCCTTCCCCTCACACTTCCTGGGGTATTTGACCCAAAGCACTCTTCTTAAATATGGCAAATTTAAAGAGAAGATATCATCTGAACTCAGCCACTCACTCGAGGAAGATACACCTGATTAGGGAGGATATGGTATTAGTACAGCCCCTACACACCATGTTCCACACTATAGGATGAGCCGTGCTCGGGCAAGGCCCACACCTCATGATGCCACCTGGTGTGGAGCACCAGGCCAAGACCACGTCCCTCCATCAGCCACACTCAGGCTCATCTTCACACCCGTGACCAGGGGAGGTTTTGTTGTGGGAATTTAGAGCCATGGCATGGAGATGAAGCAGGTCTGCACATAGACAGGGTGGGGACACACCTCTACACAGAGCCGGTAAATCCAGCACAGGTAGGTCCTGACCATAGCAGCTTCCTATTGTCTTACTCAGCTGTCTTACATTTTTTGTCTTTTTTTGAGACTCTCACTCTGTGTTGTAGATAGAGTGCATTGCTGTAGCTCACAGCAACCTCAAATTTTGGGGCTCACATGATCCTCTTGCCTTAGCCTCCCAAGTAGTTGGGACCACAGGTGCCTGCCATGATGCCCAGCTAAGTTTTTCTATTTTTAGTAGAGATGTGGTCTTGCTCTTGCTCAGGCTGGTCTTGAACTCCTGAGCTCAAGCAATCCTCCCACCTTGGCCTTCCAGATTGCTGGGATTATAGGTGTGAGCCACTGTGCCCGGCCTTATTTATTCTTTAATTGTCATAATATGAAGATAATTCAGTTAATAAGGATTCAGTCAATAAAGCATTAATAAAATATACGTATAAGTAAAATATATTTGCCTATTACAAAAAATCTCTGGTGTTTTCTGCAGGCCCAGTAATAGCCCCATCTAGTGACTTGTGTGGTTGGCATTTTTGAAACCAAGTCTTGATGCTTGAACTCCCAATTTGATTTAATATTAGGCTTTTTTAATGGTTTGATATTTGGAATTTTCCTGTCTTCTAAAGAAAAACAGCTTGAAATAGTTAACCTTTCTTCATTTTTTAAAATATTTAAAATATTGTGTGAAAATAATGCTCTTTTATCCTTAGAAAATAATTCCCTTTGCTGTTTGAGCTCCTCCAAACATTCTCCATGTCCCCAAGCACCAGCAGGACCCTTGTGCAGCAGCTGGACCAGCCCAGCACCAGGACCAGAGCCCAGAGCCTACTGGGGCAGGAGGGCATGGTCACTGTCACTGTCACTGTCATCTCTTCCTTTGTCTTCAGTTAAACACTCAAGACGGGGCATGGTGGCTCACACCTGTAATCCTAGCACTCTGGGAGGCCAAGGCGGGTGGATTGCTTGAGCTCATGAGTTCAAGACCAGCCTAAGTGAAAGCAAGACCCTGTCTCTACTAAAAATAGAAAAACTGAGGCAAGAGGATCACTTGATCCCAAGGGTTGAAAGTTGCTGTGAGCTGTGACACCATGGCACTCTGCCCAGGAGCTGTGGCCCAGGGTGACAGCTTGAGACTCTGTCTCAAAACAAACAAACAAACAAAAATACTCAGTCTGCTTTAAATGAAAGAAAATGTGAGTGTCATAGCAGCCCTTTCCTTTAAAAGGTCCAGGCATCACTTAAGATATAGTAACTGATCTCTGAAAATGGCATGGCTATGAGGGTTTTCTTAATAAAGCCTTGAGATTTTGCTGGGAAATGAAGCTGACATAGATGATATTTGTAGGTTACAAGTGGAAACGGTTCTCAGGGGAAGTTGTCTCCCTGGGCTACGGTCCCCTACATATTATGGGACACCAGTCCTTACCCACAGGCTGGTTTGTGGCCCAGGGCTCACAGTCTTCTTTGCGTCCTGCAGGTGGTTCTACCCAGGCACCAACCCCTACACTGGGACTCCTGACTGGCTGTATGCAGGGGACTATTTTGAGCGGAATTTCTCTGACTGCCCCGACATCTACTGAGGACTACAGGGCCCTGGGGCCAAGGCCCAAGAGGCTGGACTCCTTGAGTGGCCATACCAACTTTTGTCACGGCAGAAACCTCCTTTCTAATGCCTGTGTTCATGGAGATGGCATTGTCCCTGGTCAAAGGTTGAACTCTAATTAACTGTTGATTGCCAAACACTTTGCTACTGTGCAGTCTCGTCATAAAGCTTCACTTGGGATCATCGTTTTCATTAAGGTTTAAACAGGAAATTCTTTGCAGTCTCTTTTACACGACAAGAATCGGCAGGGGCGCGTCGGGCTGACAGCACTCTCTCAGTTACCGGATTTGCAACCAGAAGAAAGACAGGAAGGCTCTGTCTCCTCTTTACGATGCAGAGGGTCCCCAGAAGGATTTTAAATTCGACCCCATGAGGGGAAAAAGGGACTTGAAAATAACCCTGCAGAGAGTTAAGTAAAGGCCAGGAACCTCTTTCTAAATTATGCTGATAGAAAAGTGAAGCTTTTCAAATCAGATTGAATGAAATGAAAAGTTGTCAGATTCTGTATTTTTTAACCAATCTTCAATAATGTAAAGATTACGTTTAAAATATTTAAGTTAAAATCACTTGAATAGTATTTTGCTGAAGAGCAAGATATGCATTAATCACCAACTGTATACTGTCCAAAATGACGCATCACCGTGACAACCAGAGTGAGCAAAAGCATTAAGAGTTGGACAAAATACCCCTAAGGCTGCTCCCACCCTGAAGGGGGCCTGGGCCCTGGCTCCGGTGCCCTGTTGTCACCACGCACCATGCCCTCGTCTCGGGGGCCATTTCTTAAAACACTTTGCCTGTATCCATAGCACTCTTACGTTTTTGTTTTTCCCAGTGTGCATGTTTAAAATACAAGCGAATCACATCTGATTGTGCGCTGTGGGAGGGTCAGAAGCAGAATCTACTTAGAGTGGTGTAATTAAAGTTATTTAACCAAAAATAGTTGTGTGTCCATCTTAGCATTCATCTATATCAAGTGACCGATTTTATTTATGTAGAAATGTCAGTACAGCAGCTCATGGGAGAGCTCTGGGGTCAAAGGCGCTTCTCAGTGAGTGAAGCTCACTCACCTTCACTCAGTGAGTGAAGCTCCCTCAGTGAGAGGGACTGTTGTGTGTCTGTGCTTCAAAGTCACATTTTTAATTAAAACACTTTTTTTTTCAAGACAGTGTCTCATTCTGTCGCTCTTGGTAGAGTGCCACGGTATCTTAGCTCACTGCAACCCTCTTGGGCTCAAGCAATCCTCTTGCCTCAGCCTCCCAAGTAGCTGGGACTACAGGCACCCACCGCAACGCCTGGCTAGTTTTTCTGGTTTTAGTAGAGATATATCTTGCTTTTGTTCAGTCTGGTCTCAAACTCCTGAACACCTCAGCCTCCCAGAGTGCTGGGATCAAAGGTGTGAGCCACTGCAGTGGCCTTAAAACATTTTTAAAAGTGAATACTTGTCCTGAGATGATGATTCTGTAGCTTGGAAGCTGGGAGCAGTAGCATTTCAGGTTAGTCTAGGATTGTCCTCAGGGCCTGCAGCCTTGTTCCCCCGACTCAGAAGAGTCCCTCAGAGCCAATTGGTGGTTTTTACCTGCATCTAATTTTGACATTATGCAGATTAGAAGATGGAACCCGTGAGGGGCTGGTGGAGGGTCTGCTCTTTGGGAACGCAGCTGTATCAGGCTGACTCTCCAGGGAAGCTGACTTTCCAGGGAAGATGGAAAGACATGGTTAATTCAACTGAAGTCAGGGAAGTTTAACAACTTCTAACAGATCATTCTACTTCTTACTGCTTAAAATAATAATCTCCTGATGCCGGGCTCACAGGCAGCCCCCACCCCTCCTTGCTGGTTCCTATGCACGGGGGAAGTTGAAGGAGGCAGGTTGACAAATAGCCATGTCCCCAGGTTACTGTAATTTCTGATTACAGCCTTTTACTACTGCTGCTTCTACAGATACACATGAGAATGCTGTCCCCTAAACTTTATTACCTTGAATATGTCAAATGTCTCTAGTAAAGGAATTTTCAGTAGAAGATGCATTTTCAAAGATGACACACACACACACCCCCACCCCCCCGCACGGTAGGGAAAGCTGTGGTCTTCCCGGGTCCGCGTAGCCTGAACCTGGCTCTTAGTGCTCACAGTAACCCTGTAGCTTAGAGTGTCTTTGTGGAATGATGGTCTGGCAAACTTCCTTCCCAACAGAAGCTAATATTTAGATTTTGCTTCTAATTGAGGTTTGGAGTTGGTTATGTATTAGAGGGGTGATGGTGGACCTGTGTGTGTAAAACCAGAGTTGTGTCTGGGTGGGTGGTGGATCCAAGTTGCTGGCTGCATGGGTCTGCCTGGCACTGCGGAGGTCAGGTCAAGGGTCAAGGTTGCCAGCACCTGCAGCCTTCTGAGCTGGGCACAGCTCAGGTCGTGAGATGCTCATGGAAGCAGGTTGTGGTCCTTGTGGACAGCACTGCATTTTCTAGCTCAGACCACCATGAGAGTCAGACACTCTGAAAGACGCGTTCTGTAGGAGTGTAACCCAGGCACTGTACCTGGCTGGAGAAGGTGCTGAGATGGCCCTAGGCTGCCCTGTGTAACAGGTGGTCTTAGAAGGGGCACGTCTGCCTGTGCCTGCTGGACCCATGGCCCTCCATGAAGAAGGGACAGCCAGGCAGGGCCTGGGAGGTGCTGTCCTGCCCTGCTGGCCCCTGCGATCCCTTTCAGACTCTGCCCCCAAAGCGTGTGATGATGCTTGTCTTCTCCACGGGTCAAGGCTCAGTCTGCCAGACACAGTGTGGCGCAAGGCAGCTGATGTGGGCGCCCAGCCCCAGACAGTGCCAAGTGCTCATGCCTCTGGCCACTTGTCCAAATGACCTAGAATACAGGAGACATGCCATCTGCTCTCTGGGCCCTGGGAACACAAGGTCAGGAGACAAGTACAGGCCTGGGACCCCCCACAGGGAACCCCTTGGCAGGCAGTGTGCTCTTTGGGGAGAACTCTCCCAAGGAAATGGAGATTTACAAGTTCCTACCATCTGCATGAAGAACAATGAAATGAAGGCAGTTAAAAATTCTTTTTTTTTTTTTTTTTTTTGAGACAGAGCCTCAAGCTGTCCCCCTGGGTAGAGTGCCGTGACATTACAGCTCACAGCAACCTCCAACTCCTGGGCTCAAGCGAGTCTCCTGCCTCCGCCTCCCAAGTAGCTGGGACCACAGGCGCCCGCCACAACGCCCGGCTATTTTTTGGTTGCAGCCGTCATTGTTGTTTGGCGGGTCCAGGCTGCGGGTCCGGCTGGGGATTCGAACCTGCCACCTTAGGTGTACGTGGCTGGCGCCTCAGCCGGTTGAGCCACAGGCGCCGAGCCGACAGTTAAAAATTCTAAGAAGCCCCTGGCCCTGTGGCTCTTGCCTGTAATCCCAGCATTGTGGGAGGCTAAGGAGGGAGAATTCCTTGAACTCAGGAGTTTGAGACTCACCTGAGAGTGATACCCTGACTCACGAAAAGAAAAACCCAGCCAGGCACCTCGGTAAGCGCCTGTGATCCCAGCAGCTTCCGGAGGCTGAGGCAGCGGGTTGCCCACAGCCTGAGTCTGAGGTTTCAGTGAGCTACACCACTGCACTCTGCTCAGGGGCATAGGGTGGGACTCTGTCTCAACAACAACAGAAATAATTCTAAGAAGCTGCAACGTTCCAGGTGCACTGTGGGCCCTGTCCTGCCTGGCTCTGAGCTCAGAGGGCAGGGGCGTCCAGCAGCGTCCTGCCCCAGCTTGTCACCCTGAGGGGCACTCTGTCAATCCACAGAGAGTTCTCACAGTCCTGGTTCTCTCCTGTGTCACTGTTTGGACTTGCCCATGTCCAAGTGAGTGCAGACGCTCAGGTCCTGGTAAGAGTGGTAAGTAGCTGATAGGCCGGTAGCACCTGGTAGCTGCCTCAGTATTCCTCAAAAAGTAGTCTCCCCTCAATCCATCTTCTCTACACACTGTGTAGATCGTTACAAACTGGACCTCATGTTTCCATTACGGCTTGGTGTGACTGTGCTGGGCAGTCAGCTCTGCACTTGGCGCCGCTCCTGTGCCTCTCTGGGGACCAACTGTCACTGTCAGGGGCTTGGTAAAGCAAGGCTGGCTCTGCAGAGACACGGCACACACAGCCACCCGTTCTTGCCCATCCCTGTCCCAGCTGGCTCCCTCTGCCTGTGCTCAGCCAGCCCTTCAGTGCTGTCCATCTTGCCCTCTGTAGCCTGGGACTGTCCTGTCCATTCCCTGTAGCTCAGGAGTGTCCGGTGGAAGGCGATGCCAGCCAGAGAGCTCATTCTCAGTGCCCACTGACATTCCCAGAATCATTCTCAGATTCCTCTGGAGGACTGTGTGGATCTGAGTTGAGATTGTTACCCTCTTCCCCTCAACTTTGGGATAAAGATTCTCTGAAGATGGGTTATAGTTGATGTTTGTTTCACAGTGAACAATTTTTCAACTGTCCCCGCTGTTCTGGCCTGTCTGTAAAGGGCTACAGATCAGCAGTGGACAAGTCCTTGGTCTGGATAGCAGATGTTTGCTCTCTAGGATTGGCTTGGCAAGTGGACTGTTTCTGGACACTGCTGTCTCAGTGGAGAGGAGGCTAGGGATGCTTGTAACAGTCATGTGGCCTACAGAAGGGCTGAAGGGTCCAGGTGCTCCTGGGACTGTCTCTCTCCTGGGGACTGAAGGCTGTTGCTGGATGCAACAAAAAGCCCAAAGTGTGGAGTTAGCTGGACTCAAGGGCTCCCCCCACGTAGCTTCTGCCCTAAGCAGCCCCAGCAGCTGTGTGTTTCCCAGGAGGATGACCAAGTGGGGACAGTCACCCCTCAGTCACTGTGGCTCCCAGCAGGGATGGAGGGTGCTCTTGGAATGCTCCAGGTGCATGGATAGGGGCTCCATCATCGTCCAAGGAGGATGCCACAGAGCCAGAGCCTGAGTGGCCATCAAGCCCCACCAGGGAGGAGGAGGCAGAGGAGGGCCAAGTGGGGAAGAAGACTCAGTACTCACTGGGAGGCTCACCTCTCCAGGGGAGCGTGTGTGAGCGCTGACAACCTCACACCATTCCCACTCAGCAGCCCAGGTCACAGCGCCCTTTGTACACAGTCCTCCCTCCTGGCCCCGGGCCACACCCCCCTCTGATTTTCCCTGTGGTTCTGCCCTCCTGATCATCTGGCTTTTTTTTTTTTTTTTTTTTTTTGAGACGGAGCCTCAAGCTATCCCCCTGGGTAGAGTGCCATGGCATCATGCTCACAGCAACCTCCAACTCCTGGGCTCAAGCGAGTCTCCTGCCTCCGCCTCCCAAGTAGCTGGGACCACAGGCGCCTGTCACAACGCCTGGCTATTTTTTGGTTGCAGCCGTCATTGTTGTTTGGCGGGTCCAGGCTGGGGATTCGAACCCGCCACCTCAGGTGTACGTGGCTGGCGCCTTAGCCGGTTGAGCCACAGGCGCCGAGCCATCATCTGGCTTCTTTTGGGCAGAACAGTGAATCTGAGGCTTGCGGTGATGTGTGCACCGGTGGTTTGTTCCTTTTCACTGCTGAGCAGTAAACACAGTGTCCCGTGGTTTATCTACTCATAGTTGATGAATGTTTGGGTTTTTTCCAATTTGGGGCAATTATGAAAAAAGTTAGGGTAGACATCTATTTACAATTGTGTGGACATCTGTTGTCATTTCTCCTTGGTAAATACCTAGGAGTGGAATGGCTGCATCATAGGGCAGTTCCGTGTTTCACTCTATAAAAAACATAACTGTTGCCTCACCAGAGAGGACACGTCAACTCAGCTAAGCGCATGAGTCCACACCCTGCAGCACCCAGGAACTGTAAGTTCAGACAGGGCAGCAGGTGACTAAAACCCCACACCTGTGTGACCCTGAGCCCGAGGCGGCCAGATGCTGTGGAGCCCTGTGTGGGGACACAGATGGCGCTGTGCTTCAGCAG